GCAATGGCAAAGAGGGGGGGCTATAAAAGTGTTTGGAAAGACGTATGAGAAACTCGTGGTGTAAATATAGCCATGCACACTTAGGGTCCACTCTCATTGTACTTTTTCGTTTTTCTCTGTATCCCACATTTTTTATGCACTATCCCAATTTATCGATTTTTTTTTTTTGGATATTCTTGCCAATTATTTACGCATTATTAGAAACATCCATCGACAAAATGCCATTATCATAAACCATATATTAGCATTGCATAATGTCAATAATCAATCTCATCGTATGCATGACATGATATTGAATCATGTTATAGGGCCGGGAGATCTTCAAACCAGTGTGAAATCGATGAAAATGATAGAGTATAAAACATATTTTTGAATCTCAATCATACTTAGCGTCTAATATTCCCCCTCACATAAAAGCCTTTTAATTAGCTTAAAGTGTAGATGTAGCATGAGTCATACCATACCCAGCGTTTAATATTCCACTTGAAAGTGGGGGGGGGTACGGTGTATGTTCGTGTCACATTGGTTCTGATACCATGTTTATAGATCATCTCAACAAAAACTTAAACTTATGGTTGAGACTCATGAATATGTTCTATTAATATCAGAAAAGTTATAGCAGACTCTCCTTAATTAGTAAGTTGCTAGAATTTGATCATGTTCGCCTGTACCACTAGAAAAAGACAACTTAATAATTGATATCTTGCTCATAACAATCATAAGATACATAGCTAGCACTGATTAGTTTAATCCGCTCATCAAAATGCACCTATATAGTAATGCATTGAAGCGAACAATACACAATGGTAGTGCATTATGCATCAACATTATTTATTACATAAAGATTAAAACTACAAGTAGACCCTATTGAGAAAAATGGTGAATCTAACAACAAATATCAATCACCACCTACAATTACATCCCCGAGATGTTTCCATATTGGAAACTCCCCATGTAATTGTCTATATCATTCTTTAATTTCACCATTGTCCACCTCCTCCCTTGAACAATAACAACACTTGTAGAGTTGTAGGTGTCATTACAATTATTGGTTTTAATTTTAATCATACTTCTTAATTACTCATTTTTGTTTAATTTGAATACATATTTCAACTTTGATGATTTTCAAAGATCTTATTGATCACTTTAATAGATAATTTTTAGAAAGATTGTTAATCATGTCAATTCAAAAGTTTGAAAAAAATTGTTATTGACATGCCATATTTGCTTACAAATTCAATGTGATAATTTTAAGAGTAAAGAACAAGAGTACAGTGTGACCAAAAAGTTTTGGTATGCATAGTATTATGTCTAGAAACTACAAAGTAGAAAGATATTTGTGGCATACAAATGTAATACGAAAGTATTTAATTAATAGATGTTCCCTCTACATTTTCATTAATTAGTTGTGTTTTCTTAATTAACTTTAATTGTCAAGTTCGAGCCTCCATCATCATACATTTTTCTTAAAAATTTAAAGTCATTAGATTAATGAAAAAAAAATGGCATTATAAGCCTATTAAAAAAAAAAAAAAAAAAAAAAAAAGCATAAGGGAAAGTAGAATTCTAACTCAAGATTCAATGTTGAACATTGTAATTTTTTGTTATTATAATAGTGTACCAAAGAGTAAAGCTTCAATACTTCAAAATTGAAAGAAAATAATAATTAGAAAGCTAAAACGACACTTTAAAAAACTTTATGTATTCACCTATAACCTATTTACATGAATTTTAACTTATCAACATAGATTTGAATTTGTTTTTCTTAAACTAGACTTCTTAATTGAACATTTTTTTCCCCAACAGGATAGGAACTTATTTTAACAGTGAGTTATGCATAGTATTAAGTAGTCTAACCTTTATTAAACGACTGAGCTTTTTTTTTTTTTTTTTTTTTCCCGAACTTAATTTATTTGAAGCTAATTTTCTAAAGAGGGTACAATATGAAAAGCAAGGTAAAGGCTACACATACAACTGTTGTATGTGGTCCCTACATACAACCTTACTTTGTCATGTTTTTATTGGCTACAATAATGGGCCCATGTCCCATTAGAATTCAATTTATATTTGACTTCTAATTTTCTCTCCTTTTTTAATAATGATGTGTCAAATTTCTAGTGGTGTTGTAAGTAGGGACAACATACAATGATTGTATGTGTATCAGCTCTCGAAGAGCAAGAACATTAAAAATGGGTTGGAAATTAGGAATAATTTAATTGAATATTGACAAATTATAGTTTATCACTTTGACACTCAATAGCACATTAGTTCTCCATCTTTATCTACAAGATAAAGTAAAAATCTAGCAGCCAAGATAATTGTGGCTTTAATTAGAGAAAACCTTGGATAAGATAATAATAATCCTATTAACGAATTGTGGTTCTGATTAGAGAGGTCATGTACAATATTTGGAGCAAGTCAAATTGTTTGGGTAGAAATCACGATTATTGGATAAGTAATAGAATAGAATCCAGTCCAAAAACGGAAAAAGAAGTAGAACAACAAGATTAGATTTATTTCAACATGTGATACTTGATAGCTACACACCCATATATGACTATGGGATATATGCGTATATATATCAGTATTATCGTATACAAATTAATGTATCAACATTTGTAATAGTATCCACAATGTATGAAAATGCACTTTTTAAATGCGAAATTTTGTAGTTTTACTTTGATTTGAAAAATCTAACACAACGGAATACAATACCTAATGACACCAACTTATCATAGAAATATGCTTCCAACGTGTTCAGCAAAATGTAGTTGTAGCGGTAGATGTTAGTTGTGGTAGTGGATGTTAGTTGTGACTTGTGAGAGTATAGTCGTCTACAACAAATGGTTAGTTATAAAGATAGATAATTAAATATCAGTGTTAAGTAAAAAATTATTACCTTTGAAATATAAGGAATTAAAAAATAAAAATAAAATAAAAAACAATTACCTTTAATTTCAAAAGCAAATGATTTTAGCTTTTAACTATAGCTAAACCACTATACAACAAAACTTTCATTTTTTTTAACGACTATAAGCTACTTAAAATCTACTACCCAACACGCCCTTTTTGTATATATAAGTTTAGTACAAGCTTGCAAGCAAGGGGGCTGCCTCACATTAAACTTAACACGTCAATTACATAATACTAAAAGCGAATCTGACATGACACTTGTCATGTTCCGATTATAAATTTTCCCGCCACTTTTTTCTTTCCATTTTTTTTCTTTTTTGTACAAAATCTTCATTAATATTATTTTATATATCCTATGATATTTAACTTTCAATTTGGCAACTATATACGAAATATATTCTATATGCATATCTTTCGTATTTTTTATAATAGGTATTTTTCTATAATAAACAAACACATAATAAGGTAATATATTAGAATAATAAAATGTACTACTCCCGTACTTCGTATCATTCTTCTACAACGTATTTTTTCTTTGAAAGTTTTTTTGCTCTATCTAACCAGGATTTGATAAAACAATTACAATTCAATAACTATAAACATAAATATAAAACAAAATTAAAAAATCATGATTATTAATTTACATAAAAATTAGTCAATTAAATTTGTAAAACATTGTGCCAGTTATAGTATGCTATAAAATATTGTGCCGGTCAAATACCACCAAAATAGGGATATATGGGTATATAATTACATTGCACGGGTTATAATTATAAATTGCATTCTCATATAAAACACTATAATCATTAATTTTTTGTGTTTTTTTTAATGTTTAATAATCAATAACTTTTGATAACAATATAATATTAATTCAAGTTTTTTTGGTTTTTTTTTTTTTTTTTTTTGAAAAGAAATTCAAGTATTTGTTTCAATTAAAATATTGTTTTTTTTGAAATTTTTTTTTTATTGTTGTATTAACATTATAATTCACTGATTCATAATTTGATTAAGTAAAAATTGTGCGTTGCACGGGATTTAAACTAGTTGTAGTACTAAAATCATTGTCAATCAGCACATACATGACACTTCGCCTCCAAAATTCATACAAACTAAAATATTGTAGTAAAACAAAGCGAAGTAATTTTTTTTTTTGGTGCAAACAAAGTTAAGTATTTATACTAAGTCCTTGATAGTTGATACTGATTTGTGAAAATATAGCTTAATTAATCGCAATAAAAGTACACCAGCATGTATAAATGTATATATATATATATATATATATATATATATATATATATATATATATATTTTGTCATCAATAAAAAATACTCGTACCATAGTTGTCGAAATTGGGCCTCATAAAACTTAAATATGGAAATCAAGACATTGTTTGAGAGATTGGAGCCCTCAAAAACTCAAATTGAGAAAACAAACAATAAAGAACTTTTGATAAGGTTGTTGCAGCAACTTTAGACCACAGTTATGCCCCATTAAGCAAACAGAAAATTGTCAAACACATGAATTTTTTCATTAAATTTGCACTAAAAAATAAAATAAAATAAAAAAATCTCTTATGGATAAAACTTAAAACAGTGAAATTTCACGTGAAGAGGCCCATTAAAATAAACCAAGTCACATGAATGAATGCCCACAAATAGATAATTGTGGCCAACACAAGCTCAAAGATGGTGACAAGCTTTCATTTGCTTAATTGTCAATTTTTTGGCAGAAGTATGTACTGTAAGTGATTACAAATTTATAATAGGTCGTGTTCTCTCCAACTAATGAATTTTAATTTCGATTTAAGTTTAGAAAAATAATACATAGTAAATAATTTATATTAAGCATAATGTTATGAGCTTATGACAAATGTGTCCAATGTGAGACTTCAGTGTTGTGTCATTTATAAGGGAGAGCTAATATCAATTAATTGCCAGTGATGACAAGTTATAAATATCTTGCTCAATTGAATTTCTAAATTTCCTTCTTTTTTCTTTTAGAAATTGACTAATTTCATAAAAAATCAAAATACAAAACAAATCAATGGAAAAGGAAATAATTCCTCCAAAAAAAAAAAAAAAAACACGGAAAAGGAAATATACCCAAATGCTCAATACTGAAAAAATGAAGAAATGTTGGTGGACGAAATCATCAAATTCTTACGTTGTTACAATTTGCTAACACATAGACCTGATCTGTACAAGAATAGATCTCATAAAAGCTTTCTACGTCGTAGAGGATGTGGTGTCTTGATCTTCAGTTTCAGCATCAGGACGTCCATAGACAACAGCGAGATAATGGCCTACGGTTTCTCTAGTGAGGCCAGGAAACCTGTGGTGGCCGTCTGGTTTTGGGTCAATTTTCACAAACGGCCACCTCAGAAACTCGGCAGCTTCACACTCTTCCCATCCATCCCCAATCACACAGAACTGAACATCGGGTCCACCAAAGCGCTCCTTGATCCATGAGAAACAACGAAGCTTCCCTACGTCCCATGCACTATATACTGGGAAAGTTTTATTTATACCCAATATCAGTACTTATCTCAGTTCATACAAACAGAAGCAGATGAGAATAAAAGACTCAGAAAAAACTATATACGACAGGGAACTCAGAAGCTAAGAGGCCCGGCCTGCAAAAAGCCATTTGATTGGTCATTAATACTTGCTTTTGGGCTGGACCAGTTCTTCATCCCTTCCACAGTACTAGTCTAAGTAAGTGGAGAGCTGTACTAAGGTGCTTTCCTCACCTACCTTAGTAGTAAGTTACCTTATCATCTTCGCAGATTAACTAGTACCTATTACCTAAACAGGTCCCATACAGCAATTAGCGTGTTGCCAATTTGCCATGTTCATGAAGATGATAGTGCATATCTATATAGAGAAGTGACATTGGAACGAAAATCCCAACCAAAAAGGCTACAATACATTAAACAAGGTTCTCTCGAAATTGTTATCATACTCTCTGTCTAATAAGAATTGCTCTTAAAAAAAAAAATATATATCCCATCCTGGAATATCTCATAATAATTCTCATTACATAGCATCTGGCTCCACCCTCTTCAATGCCATTTCTTTAAAAAACATTGCCATCCACAATAATTAGCGGTGTACAGAGTTGAGCTGGCTTTAAGCCTTACTCTGGACAGGTCCTACGGGTGAACAAAAGCAAAGAATCCTGTCATTAAATGAAGCATTATGCTATGGAACCTTTACATTTGATGTTCAAACTAAGTATAAGCCCCAACAATACCAGTGTTGATAAGACATAAAACAGGTATGAACAAGGGATATGGGACCAACTTGAGGGAGAGAAACGGATGCACCCAGGAAAAAATAAGAGGAATCAGGCTTATCTTCTTTCTCTCTCTCCCAAACAAAGTTTCCATTATTTATAGGCTTATCAGATCTGGGATTATATTCGAAGATCCTTCTTCACTACTTAAACATTCTCAATAATTGGAGCCATCAATCAATGTAAGGATTTATTGTAGATTTAGAGCATTCTACAGAGAGGCAGCCCCAAGGCCCTTAAAGGTGGTATCAATATAATCGATGAAACTACATGAAATGGTGTGTGGAGGAAGTCCTAGTGTCATTCTTACTTTCCCTATGATACTTACTTAGAGCTCGTAGGTAAACAAGTAAAATGGAATTATTGAAGGAATGGATAATTTTAGTTTCAAAGGATGAGACAGAACCATTAAAGTTTCACCCACATTTTTACTATATTAATATTACATCTGCCAAGCTGAAAAAGAGAACAGGGACTCTTCTATGCAAGGCATTTTCTGCAGCAACTAAGCAGGTTTATGCTAACAAGTCCAGATTAGTTTCCTACATATTTTTCAGTAGAAAGGGATATGCTTCGTACATATTAATAAATTATTAGTGGTCACATCGTAGCCAAAACTTATAAAGATGGTTCCTAAACTAGGAACTAGCGTTTATTTATGAATTGTTTATTACTATCTCATCCACTCAGTATCATAGCCTTATAGGAGCTGTTAGCCAATATCTGACATTTTCCAGGAATGAGCTTTTGACTATCACTATATAGTTGTATAATTCTATGGGAAAACTTTATAGTAGAGATATCAAGAACTACAAGGATAGCATAGAGGCATTATACGCCCAACAGAGTGATAATTTCAGCAGGAAGATGATGAAAAAAACGATAGTTAGAAGGGAACTTACTATTTTCACAAGTTAACAAGCTGTCCAATTTAAATAGTAAACATTTGACTAGGCTCGGAATCAGTGATCCAGCAGTCACTAAGATATTAATGCATTGGAACTCTTCACATCCAGTGGTTACCAATTCTCTATCACCTGAGCAATGTTGCAGCAAGGTCCGTGCTGCATCAAAAAAAGGAGAATGTTTTCATTTATGCTGTCAGAAGTAAAGGCACTATTAAATAAGAGTCTGCAATGCATCAGTGAGGCAGTGACACCAAAGTGCTTCAGCAGTACAGCAAGTATTTAAGCAACAAGAGTATCATTCATTCCCAAGAGACCAAGACTACAGAAGGCAACTAGATATAGAAGTTCCCATCAAAGGCATGATCATACATTTGACAACAGTTTTGGCCCATTATCTCATTTTAGAAAAAAAGTTAAATCAAACCATCTCATTAGTAAAATATTTGAATCAGATTTTTGTACGTTTGTAGAATAGTGAAGACAAGCAAGCACAATATGACTACATTCACAAAACAAGGAAGGTTCATTACATCATAAGAAACAAAAATCTCAAGATAAGAATCCTCAGGATCCACATCAATAGTCAAATTTGAGACAATTCCTACAGTAACTAAATCACGTATGCTTTACAGAATAATATTTACAGGAAGAAAACCTGATGCTAACATGGCTTTTCCCAAGCTCTTTCTTTTATTTGTTCTTAGCTGCTCTAGCTTATAATCTATGTCCATGTTGCAGATAAAAGTGGGGCCCAGAATGACAATGACTTCATGAGAAACACTCACTCTTCTGAAACTTGCATAAATAATGCAGAGTAAACTAATGTTCAACTGCAAATATTGGAAGCAATTGTTGCAACATGCAATGAATTCACGGAAGTGCCCACTGATGACATACACAAAAGAATTCAATTCTATCTTCATGCCAAGACAATGAGAAATGACATTAACCCAAAATTTCAACAAGTAATACAAAAAAACATTATGATTCTATCACAGATGATACAAATCTGAAAAAAGAAACTTGCATGAAACACCAAAAGGTTAATAAATAGCAGTTGTCACAAGTTATATTCGTATGCAAATTCTTCTGGCATTCAATAGAAATTTTAAGCTTCCTCTATGTGATTCACTCGTTAATTAGCTCTAATATTAGGTTTCTTGCGGTGCGTGGAGGGGAAGAGGGTGGATGAGGAAGGTAAATTTAATCACACCTTCTACAAGTGTAGTCAGTTCACTAAGCCTTCATGAGGGAAAAAAAAATTCCAGTAACCCAGCTTGATGAAGCAACAGTGAAACTCTAGCAGACACTAAGCATAGCTTTATTTTTTATATATATGTTTTTCGTCTTTCAGTTCATATACGGTTCAGAGGGATGCAGTGACCAAGTATGCATTTTACCCAGAGAATTATACATACCAGAGGATAGCCATCCATCAGTGTAACTATCGGTAATCTCATATAGATTATTCCAAAGTTCAATTTTCTTCTGGTCAAGTATAGTATGCAAGCCCTGAAAAAATCAGATATTAATTCATAGGAAGAATAGGAACTAAGAGGTAATAGGAAAAGAAAGAGACAGCTTAATAGCTCATAAAAGATGCACAATTGAAATAAGTACATATTGTGCCACAAATCATGTATCTAACAATACAGAAGTGCTACATCCTATACCAATTAGCAAATTATTACAAAAGAAGAAAGCAAACAAAACCAGAAGGAGTCCATAGCGAATACCTGTTTATACTTCTGCGCTATGATCCTATGACGATAAGCAAGCTTTCTTTTGTTGATGTCATCTGTTGGAGAACCAATGTTGTCTTGGCTAAAATCATAATTAGAGAGATCAGCCCCGTCATCGTACGGGCTCAAAGCATCAATCACAGGCTCATTGCATTGTTCTATCTGCAAATGGAGATCAAATTAAGCTATCTGAAATCACCAGTATCTCTTTGGATACCTCTAAGCAGTGTATACTAACTTTAAAAAGGAACAATAAGAGCACGGACAATCGTATGATCATTCAATGTCACAAAGCAGCCAACATACTTGTTCATAGAAGAAATAATCATCGCAAACATCAAGGATAAATTTTTCCCACATCTTTCCAATATCAACGCCCTTCTGTACATCCTTCACACCACTAAATGCTACTGCATATGTACCATCCAACAACGACTTCAACAATATTAGTGTCTCATCCATATCCCATATGTAGACAATCTTTTTCCGAACAGCACTACTTTCAGCAACATGATTCTCATTTTCAAGAGCAGATTCACTTTTACTACAATCACTCATAGTGACACTTCTCAGAAACCAGTGGAATCAACACTGTAACCTGAAACACAAAAATAGGGAAACCAACTTCCTAATAACGTAACAAACTCGAAATCAACTTCAAAGCATAAGCAATAGCCAAAAATCATTGAACAGGTAAAAATGCTCGTGAAACACACTTGATCATTTGGCTATAAACTCAAACATCTGGGAACTCAAAGTATTCCTAATTACTTCATTTCATACCACAAAGTTATCAGATTAAGGGGTTATGTTCTTGAACTCAGCTAACACATAATATTTGGTACCAAGGTTCCACCCCATATCGCCCTGGTTTCATTCATGATTCCGTACCCATACCACTCGGCAAACCAAACAACACTTCTCAAAATATAAATTACTAAAACATGAGTAATTAGCCACCCCAAAATGCATTAACATAAGATGTGAGAACATTATCAAGTATAATATATCTGTATCAAAGCTGTTTCATCACAATAACACAGAAGTAAAGATTCCCACAAAACCAAGAATAATTCAAATCAGATTCAGGGTATTTTCCTATAATGAGTTCGAATTATAAAATAAAAAAAAATAAAAAAAAAAAAAAAAAAAAAACTAGTAAAGAATATTGATACCAAATCGCATAAAATTAGAATTTTTATACTCAAATTGAAAAAGAAAGAAAGATGAAAACTTGGCAACAATTTTTTGCATAACGCTAGTGCATTAAATTGTAAATGATCTCCAAATAATGCGAAAAATTGGAGCAGCCAGTGTGAGATTAGTTAAGCAAATTCGTAAGTAATTAGCAAAAAAAAATGGATCAAATTAAGTAAGTCAATTAACACTAATGAAAATTATAATCTCTAATAGAGTAGTAGCAAAGTACCAATTAGCTCAAGCAATTCAAAGTATTGAAAGTAGATATTACTCGTATTGAATACAAATTCGTCGAATTAAAAAAGAAGCTCACCTGAATATAACAGTTTGATCTGATTTTGCCCAATTTCTGACTTCAACCGTGGAAAAATAACGAGGAGTTCGTTGATGGGGAGAAATAGTTAAACGATGCCGTCTTGACAAAGTTTCAATATTCTCCCTAAATAATAAGCCCACATTTATATTTTTGGAAATTATAAAAAGAAAAAATACGGAATTAAGGGTTTATAATGTTTGAGCAAGTTGTTGTAAAAAAAAATGTTTGAGCAAGTTAATTCAAGTTTGAAGTTTGAACTAACTTTTAATATGCTTGTCTAGGGGCTTGTTCTAATTTTCTGAATTGAGCTGAACTGAATTTATTGCAGTTGGACTGAATTGAATATTTTATAAGAGAAAAAAAAATTAGAAACTAAACAAAACTGAGCTGAACTGAATAGAATTGAATGGAGCTGAACTGAATTGAACTGATTGGAGCTGGACTAAATTGAGGAACTGAAAATAAGCTGAAGAGAACATGCCCTAATCTTAGCTCGTTAAAATTTTGGCTTTATAAACTTGTTAGATTTTAGTTCATACTCATGTCAGACTGTATTTTGAGTAAACTCGAGTTTGCAATAATTTAAATAAGACTTGATTAATTTAACAATATAAATTTATTTGTGAATGAATTTTAACTGATTATAATCAAACATGAATAAAATTATAAATAAACTTAAAAGAGTTGTTCGAACATTATTGAGTTAAAAATGTTGTTTTTCGAACTTTACTCATCATGTACATAATAAAAAGCTTAAGGTTTTTTTATTCTCTTAAAAAACGAGTTTTGAGTGATTTTTAGCCGAGCAAACATGGGTGCCTGTGTTCTTTTTCCTTTTGAGTTTTCTTTATTTTATGTTGTTACAATAATTGATTGGAATTTGGAGAAAAAAAAAAAAGAAAGAAAAAGAAAAAGGAGGTAGCAATATTTAGTATACATCTGTTTCTAAATGTTTCATTTTAAAATGTTCTTTATGCTTTACTCATAAGTGCGGAGTAATTTTTTTTAATGTTTTTTCTTACACTTTACATAAAAATCTCAATTTTGGCAATTATTATGCTACTATTATACCCTCAGTTAACCTATTGATCTTATACCCTTCAAATTTCAAATAATTTTTATGTGAGATTTAACCCAATTGAATTGTTTATTAGCAAATAATTTTCACTTATTTTCTAGTTTCTAAACAATTTTTATTTATTTAAATTTTTTTTTTTTTTTTTTTTTTTTGGGGGGGGGGGGTGGTATTTGCAATTGCAAACATAGGTCTTTCTAAAGAGTAAACACTATTGTGTCAAAAAAAAAAAAAAAAGTAAACACTAAACACTATGTACAAGACATTTCATGACATCATACACTACCCTGCAAAATTATCTTGCAACCGGACATCAAATAAATGCTCAAGAAAAAGCAAGATTAATGAAAACAAAAGGCAGAAAGGGTGAAGACAAAAGGAATGCATTAGAATTTATCACCATGTTTACTCTTTTATTATTCACAATAACATATTTACATTATTAGTTTTAAGTGTTCAAACATTTTAAAATATACAGAAGAAAAAGAGAAAACAGATACACATGGAAGTGGCTATTGTACAAGATTTAATGTTTCTTGATTAGCTCCTTTGCGCTGGTACTACTTCATCAAGGCAAAAACAAGACAAGATGCAGGACCATAATCCCCTTCTTCCCTTCAGTATTCGGTTTGGAAACCTGTTTCTTTTATCGACGAGTTCAGCCATGTGCTGAACGACAGCCTGATCAAGAGAAAGGATGAACATGTTAGATAATGAACTAAGTACAAGTATTAGTGATAGCTTAATCACAATACTTTACTAAAATTTTACCTGAGCTCCCAGTTTAATAATCTCAGGGGGAATTTCAAGTGGTGTTCCATCAGCAAAAAACACCTTCAGCTTTGATAGGAACCTGAAAGAATCTGGCAAAACTCTGATTTGATCATAACTTATGTCCAACTCCTCAAGCATTGAAAAGTTGCCAATTGATCTTGGCAAGGATTTGAGATCAACAAAGTTGTTCCCAATGTTCAAAACTTTCAAGCTCGACATAGAGCACAAGCAGTCTGGGACTGATTCAAGCTCGTTGAAGCTCGAATTGAGTTCCTCTAAGCTTTGAAGATTGCACATTGTTTCTGGCAGGTTCTTTACTCTGTTATAACGGACTGTCAAAATTTCCAAATTCACAAGGTTTCCAATAGCCTCAGGAAGAGAATTTAACCGATTGAAATTTACTTGCAACACCACCAGATACGTACACGAGCCAATTGCACTAGGGAGCTCTTCGAGTTCATTTTTGTCAAGATTCAACTTCTCCAATGAGCTAAGGTTGCCAATTGAATCAGGCAATTGAGTGAAGAAATTAGAACTCAAATCAAGATTGACTAAGCCTACTAACTTCTCAAAGGAAGCTGGCAAAGATTTCAGCCTATTCCCATGAAGATCAAGGTCAGTCAGACTCGTTAGCTCTCCAATTGATCTCGGAAGGTTTATTAGTTGATTTGAGTGGATGTCAAACTTCTTCAATGCCTTAAGCTCACCAACATCCGATGGAAGAGCCATAATTTCGTTTTTCGATATGTCAATTTCAGTTAAATTTGACAATTTCACAAGTGATAAAGGTAGCCACTCAACTTCAGCCATTAGCCTTCCTTGAAGATCAAGGACTGATGCACCAGTTTTATCATAATTTTCGAAAAGAGTAGCCACTTCCATTAAACTCATCTTCTTTGTGCATCCTCTTCCTACTTTGTAAAAATTCAAATCAAACCTCAACATTAACATTCTCAAACAACCAAATCAAACAATATGGTAAAACTTTCTCATTTGTTCAAAACTTCATGTTTTTAAAGTCAACCCATGAACTTGAAACCCTAACATCTACCCTAAAACCCTAATAATCTAGTAAATCCAGAAAACAATTATAATTGCAGCATAATTGATGAACATTAAACATTAATAAATATAACAATACATAATAATTGAAAAAATAAAACTCAAATACAAGTTTTGAAATCGAACCTGCAAATACTTGAGGTATAATTGGAACATCAACAGAATTACTTTGCAAGTTCTCATTTTCTGCGAATTTCATCAAAATCCCATCAATTATTTCACGGTTTTGATCAATTTCCTCATCTGGGTATTCCAAATTAATCAAATTATCCATTTGGGTATTCCCAGAATCGGTCTTTTGAATGAGCTCCTCCAATCTCTGAAACGTTTCTTCAAATTGGATCAATTGAATAGGGTCTTTCCTCTGTTCGCCGCCATTGAAGAAAGACATGGCTTTTCTTAGTGTTTAGAGGAGAGAGAAAAGATCACAGAAGACATAATCTGATGGAGTCTGCTGTTTTTGAAATCTGCTTGAAATTCAATTTAAATTGGGTGTTAAAGATTAGAGGATTGGTAAATGGTACTGGGTATGTATTGACTGTTTCAAATAGTTCAATTGTGGGAATTGAAATTGGTGACAGTGATTTGTGAAATTTGGTGGTGAGTTCTTACACGGCTGCTGCTGTGTGGGAAGCCTGGATTAGATTCGACCGACAACCTTGGCTAATTTGGCAATGGACCGGCATTCTTGGCTAATTAGAAGAAAACCATTAATTAGACTTGTTACAAATTCACAAAGTAATTCTTATGGAGTATGTAAGGAGTAACAGACGGACTTAAAAACGACTTAAACGAGTATACCTTAAAGGCTTAAATACGGAGTATATTTATCATATACTTTCTTTTTTAATATTAAGTTGAGAGTTTAATTATTTATCAACAATTTATGAGCAAATCGATTTAATAAATATTTATTTATTGTCAATTCTTTCTATTTTTAGCTTTTTGTATGCAACCCTTAGGCTACATATATCTTTTTCTTTTTATATATAGTGAAAATTTTATCCTTATAAATCATTTTCCATTGTATGAATATCATCAAATTAGGCTAAGTCATCCCAAAATCCCAAATCTAGTTAAATACTTAAATCTCTAATACAACTATACAAGTTATGTTCAACGGACTTGGCTGAAAAGTCGGAGTGTCCGTGTCGACACGACATGACGCGGATTCGGACACGAAATTCGTGTCAGATTCGACAGTGTGCACTCGGACACTTTAGAGAGAGGGGAAGGGGAGAAATAGAGCTGAATTTTTTTAAAAAAAAATGCCTAATTTTTTCAAGCAAAGGAGAAATATAGTTATGGATAAGTAAGAAATTTGAGGGAGCGGCAGGTTGAAGAAGAAAGACAGTACAAAAAAAAAAAAAAAAAGATTGTCAACGAGATAGTGCTTTACAGCTGTATTCCTTCCTTTTATTGGTTTTTTTTATTTATTTTAAAATCCCTTTTTACTGTTGTGATAGTTGTATCCATCACTTTTTTACCCCTTTATTTAATTTCTCGCGGTGAGTTACTGAGTTACTTGAGTACTTCATCTTTATCTTTATTTAAAAAAAAAAACCCAAATAATAAGTGTTATTGTCATAGTTTAGGATTATATGGTATAGATTTTTTGAATATTAATGAAATATTTACATATTTTGTAATGTATAATTTTTTGCAAAAAATGAAAGTGTCGTGTCCCCGCACCCGTGTCAAAATATAGGACAAAGTCCCCGTGTCCTAAAATTTTGGATATTGGCGAATCGGACACTCGGACATGTGTCTGTGTTCGACACATGTATCCGAGTCCATGTAACATACTCCCTCCGTTTTTAAATACTTGCTCCACTTTTCTTTTTCAACCGTTTTTAAATACTTGTTCCATTTCTTTATTTGGAAAGTTTTTACAATATTTAATTCATTTCTACCACCTAGTGAACTCAACAAATATCATATTTTATTCATTTCATATCCTCCCACCTCTAATTTCTCCACTACTTTTGTTTTTTTTTTTACAATTTTTTATTCTTCAACCAACCCCACTACCTTCATATTCTATTACTTTATCCAATTTCTCCTAAAACTCCGCGCATGGAAAAATGGAGCAAGTATTTAAAAACGGAGGGAGTAGTATACAAGTATATATGATGTTGTACTAGTATCACTTATGGTACACTAGTTATTTTGCCATTAATTTTAGGGTACATAACTTAAATTTACAATTATTTTTGTTAAAAATAGAATTTTATTTAGGGAAAAAAAATGAAAAACCAAACTAGTACTATAAAACTCCAATAGTCCCAAAACCCCCCTACAATCCTACTTTTCCGAAATGGCAAATGAAGATGAAGCCTCAATTCCAGCATCCTTAGTTGGATCATTATTGAAGTACACTGAACCACAGTAATTCCAATTAAGCCAAGCCACCCACTTCAAGCTTCAAGCACACCTTCACAAGGTATTCTGACCATATTTCTAATTATGTTGCTTTATTGTGTGATATTTGACTGTCGTTTTTTTTAGTGGATTTAAGATTAATTATGAAGTTATTATCTTTATGAATTGTTGCGGCATTCAATGTGTTCTACCGTCAACGAATCCTAATACTGTTTGAATAATGAATCTCATGATATATAATGTCAATTTATTTCTTTAGAAAAAATTGTATTATGTTAATCGGGACTCTTCAATTCACCTCACATACCAATGTCAGACCTTGACACTGGATATAGATGAGACACTTTATTTTAGTTCAATGTCATGGAATTTTTTCACAAAATAACGATATTGGACACTTAGACACGTCGGATATCGGACACTTTATTTTAGTTCAATAAGGACAGCATATGGGTGGAAGTGTTGCTTTGCTTACCTAACAGTTTGCTCTGTCAATAGTATATAGGTGTAGGTGGGTGCGTTTATATTATATTATTTTTTTCTCCATGTTGTGATTAGGTGAGTAGATCCTAATTCATACACTTTGATGCTACTAAAGACTTAGTTATTGGTGATATAGCATTATTTCTGGACAGGGAGAGCGTAGTAGTTGGAAAAGAGGGATTAGAGATGATTAAATAATGACCTGGACTAATTATGGTCATTGTGTTTAATACTAACTAGACTGATGTTTATAAGCGGTACAATAGTAACTTTGGTTTTATGATATGTTTTAATTGGAAAATGAATAGCTTATAAAGGAGAAGAAGGGGTGATAATTGAATGTAATTGTACAGGTATTAAGTTGGGGGAAAATGAATCAAATAACATTCATGTATGTTTTTTTTTTTGAAGGGAACATTCATACATGTATTGAATTAAATCTAGTTCTTTTTTAAAAATAATAAGAAAGGGGATTAGTTAATGGAGGAAGGTGACATGTGGCACTGGTAAAAAATAAATTTTAATTTACATGTGGCATGATGGGGATGATGGTTTGTGTTTTTAAATACTAAGTATAGATATAGATGTATTATTGTGCACATGTATCGTCTGTATTATTGTGCTATTTTTTGTTACTATTCGAATGCGATGCAAGTTGTTGAAATTTGACCAATTAAACTTAAACAAAGTTCAAATCTGGCAACTAGTGTAGGCTGTATACTGATTATTCACTTCTTCACCTTATACTTGAGTCACTAACACACCTTGAAGTATTTGCTAGAGAAAAGTTTTGATCGAAAAAAGAGAGAATGGCTGAGGGAATATTGTTTGGCATTACACAGGAAATCATAAAGAATCTGGGATCAAGGGCAATTGATGAGATTGCTTCGGCATGGGGATTCAAGCCTCGGCTTGAGAAGCTCAAGACCACTATCAACACCATCAAGGATGTGCTCCTTGATGCTGAGGATAGGCAAACTGATAGTAGAGTCATTCGTGGTTGGCTTGAAAGGCTTGCTGCTGTTGTTTACGCTGCTGATGACTTGTTCGATGAGGTGGCTACTGTTGCATCCCAGAAATATATGCTCAATGCAAACAAGTTCACTAAGGAGGTACAAACTTTCTTCTCTAGCTCCAATCAGATGATGTTTGCATTGAATGTCTCTAAGAAGATTAAAACAATTAGGCAAGAGCTAGATGATATAGTCAAAGAGGGTACTGATTTTGACTTTGTACACCGCCCTCGTGAAGAAGGGAGTGTGATACATACTAGTATGAAGAGAGATCAAACTTATTCATTTGTAGATGCTGAGGAAGTTATTGGTAGAGATGACGATAAGAAAGCTATCTTAGATATACTCTTTGCCTCTGGTGAACCTGACAATGAGGTACTTCATGTTATCCCAATTGTGGGATTGGAGGTCAGGGCAAGACAACTTTGGCTCAACTCATATATAATGATCCTCAAGTTGACAAGCAATTCGAGTTGAGGTTATGGGTGTGCATATCCGAAGTCTTTGATGTAAAGATTATTACAGAAAAAATCCTCAAGTCAGCAACCAATGCAGAGACTCCGAATTTAGAGATGGAGGAGTTACAAGGTCTAATGCGAAAAGAAGTAGGTGATAAGAAATATCTGCTTGTTCTGGATGACATTTGGAATGAAAATCGTGAGGAATGGTTGAAGCTGAGGGCTCTATTGAAGATTGGTAGAAAAGGGAGTAAGATAATTATAACTACTCGGTCAAGGGAGGTGGCAAAAATTATGGGCACCGTTCCTGCCTATGATTTACAAGGCCTGAAAGAAGAGAAGGCATGGGAATTATTTCAGAAGATGGCATTTGAACCTGGACAAGCTGAACAGATGCCTCGTCTTATGGAGGTTGGGAAAGATATTGTTAAGAAGTGTGCAAATGTTCCTTTGGCCATAAGAGCTGTAGGCAGTCTTCTTTACGGCAAGAACGAGAACAAGTGGTTGTCAATCAAAAATAGAAGTCTAGTCAATATATTTGACAGCCAAAATGGCATTATGGACATTCTCAAGCTGAGCTACCAGCAACTACAGTCACCGTTAAAGAACTGTTTTGCTTACTGCGCTTTGTTTCCGAAAGATCATGAATTCAATAAGGAAGCACTGATGAATCTTTGGATGGCCGAGGGCTTTATTATTTCTAAAAATAATGAAGACCAGAGTCTAGAAGATCTTGCTGATGAATATTTTCTTATTCTGTTGCAAAGGTGCTTCTTCCAGGATATAAAAAGAGATGAATGGGGGAACATTTCGAGCTGCAAAATGCACGACTTTATGCATGATCTTGCTCAAGAAGTAGCAGGAGTCAACTGCAAGGTTGCAGTGTTAGGAGAAAGCAATTCAAACAAGGCAATCTGTCACTTGTCAGCTTATCGTTTGACTTCAGAATGGAAGATACCAAGTTGGATGCTGGAACTGAAGCATCTACGAACATTTCTGTTGCCAGAGCAATTTAAAGATGGATCGGCCTTCAGCAAATCGATTTGTCAAGAGTTGATATCTGGCTTTGGATGCTTGAGAGTGTTGGATCTACACAACCTTGGAATCAGGAATTTGCCCAGCTCAATAGGTAAGCTAGTTCACTTAAGATACCTTAACCTTTCCCGTACACCTATTGGAGAACTCCCTGATTCAATCACAAAGCTCCAAAATTTGCAAACACTTAACCTATCTAATTGTTTAAGTCTTCCATCATTGCCTATACATATGGGATTACTTAAGAATCTTAGGAGCCTTGATGTTAATGAATGTCAGTTTCTGTACCGTTTGCCTTCAGGACTAGGAAATTTGACTTCTCTCAATAAACTACCTCGATTTACAGTCGTTTATAGAAATTGTCCTAAAATTGATTACAAGCCCAACACTGCTAAGTTGAGTGATTTAAAGAACCTTAATAACCTGAAAGGAGTCTTGCACATTCAAATTTTCGGTGAGGGAAAACGTGGGCTGACTAAGTTACATATAGAATTGGACGGTTGGTTATATGACGATGTTAGTGGTAGTAATCATGATGAATCTATCTTGGAAGGGCTGAAACCACATCCAAATTTAAGGGAGCTGGAGATTTATTGTTATAGAGGTCAGAAGTTCCCAAGTTGGGCAATGATGGGTAATTTGTGCAGTACTCTTCCAAATCTTGTTCATGTTGAACTTCTGCGTTGTGGAAGATGTCAGCAAGTGCCTTGTTTTAGTCAACTCCCTTTCTTGAAGCGCCTCACCCTTGTATCTTTGCAAAGTGTGGAATACATGGAAAGCAGTGATCACATTCTTTCCTTGTCATCCAACACACTATTCTTCCCATCTCTTCAAGAACTTACACTGATGAATATGGATAATTTAGAAGGATGGTGGATAGTAAGAGAAAATGCTGACATTAGTACAATAGAATCATCACATGATCAATTACTCATACAACGCCTCCAATCCATGCCATTTTCCAATCTAACAAAATTGGAATTACGAAAATGTCCAAAGCTGATATCTCTGCCACAATGTTCTAATGTGGAGGAATTAACACTAGTGGACACCAACGAGACCATCTCAGTGATAAAGATGGCAACAGCTTCACCATCAACCTCAACTTCAGCAACTGGTTCAAAGTTGAAAAGGTTTACAGTCAGTAACTTGGAAGACCTCATTTCTCTTCCAAGAGAATGTCTGCACCAACTTTCTTCACTTGATGTCCAAGATGAGAAGCTGGTGAACACTGAGGAAATAGGAAAGCAAGTCTACATGAGTATGTCTTCTTCTCTCCGTTGTTTAAGTTTCACTCATTGCCATAGCTTGAGATTTTTCACTCAAGGCCTAGAGCATTTAACAGCGATAGAGAAGTTGGTGCTTTGGAATTGTGAACAACTTGATCTATCACCAGATGAAGATATACCATGGAAATACTTCAAAAGTCTTCGTTCTTTACAATTTCATATGATCCCTAAGCTGTTGGTTCTTCCTAGTGGACTTCAACACTTGACAAACCTCCGCTCTCTTAAAATAACTTGCAACCGTGGATTTATGGAACTACCAGAATGGATCAGCTGTTTCTCATCTCTTGCATACATGTGTGTAAGTATTTGTCCTAAGCAGACATCTTTGCCAGAAGCCTTCTGCAATCTCACTTCCCTAAATGAACTAAAAATCCTTAGTTGTCCAGGATTGACAGATAGATGCCAAGGTCCGAAGGGTAGCGAATGGCCCAAGATTCAGCATATTCCTCTGGTTCAAGTTTTACAGGATTAGATATCATGAATTTATGATATAGGTATGAAATAGACATTATTGATGTTATCAAATTTACAGTATGCTCCCTTTAGTTCTATTAAATGTCAATGGTTCTAGTAGTAGGTGAACATGGTTGTATACTTGTAAGTAGTTTACTAAATTAAATTTAATAAACATGTAGGGTTCTTTTGGCATCATTGTGGTTTACTGTTTTTTGATTTTTTTTTTGTTTTTTAAAAGTATATTATATATATCACATATTGAATCAAAAATTATTTAGACTTGTTAAAATCATGATAATTTTGAAAACTGCCAACAGAAAAGTGGAAACACCTTTTTCTTGTTTCCTGTTTTTGATTTTTAGTTTTCAAAAAAACAGGAAACTGAAAACGAAAAATGATACCAAACAAAAGTTAATGAAAAACAATTGATTGTAACGGAGACACCAACTGAATACTCTCTCGTATACTTGTACTCCTGAAAATTTCTATATACACTCAAGGATATTTCATATAGGTATACAGAGTAGGAGAAACTGCTAATAACTAACAATACAAAGGAAGCATCACTTCAAATCACAACATATGTTATCCATATTTTTTTTCTTATCTATCAAAATTGATTATAGAAGAATGTGAGCTGATATTCCTGCCATTATGTCCAAATGTGGAGAAATTGAACTAGTGTCAAAGATGAAAGCAGCTTCTTCATGAACCTCAACTTAAGGATCTGGTTCAAAGTTGAAAATTTTGACAATCCGTAATGTGGAAGAAGGCCTCATATCAATCCAAGAGAATGCCTGCACCAACCTTCTTCACTAGAATTCCAGGACAAGAAGCTGGTGAGCACTAACAAAATAGGAGAGTTTTTTCAAAAATATATTTTCATCACTCCATTCTTTGGGATTCTTTCATTGCGACAGCTTGAGATTTATCTCCCAAGGACAATAACAAGAACACCTGACAGCCATAGAGGAGTTGGTACTTTGGAATTGCAACCAGCTTGATCCATCACATTCACCTGATGAACAGTTGCCATGGGAAAACTTCAAAAGTCTTCCTTTTACAATTCCATATGGTATTTAAGCTACAGGTTCTTCCAAAAAGGCTTCAGCACTTGACAAACCTCCGTTCTCTACAATTGTCGCTCATTGTTGAACTGAGGGATCTATCAGAATGGATAGGCTGTGTGGATCCACACAGAACTAATGCTTATTTCTACAATTGTTTCCTAATAAATATCATTCTCTACAATTAACTCATCGAAATGTTGATTCTATGAGATTCATATCATTCTACAATTCCATATGAGATTCATGACGCTGCAACAATTCCATATGTGTGGATCCATATCATTCTACAATTCCATATAATTCTTTCTCTACAATTAATTCCATATGAAATTCATGACGCTGCTACAATTTACATAGGAAACATTTCGTTGAGTAAATGCTTTCTAATGATAGATGAATAGATTCACACAGTACTAGTGCTTATTTCTACAATTTACATATGGATATAGTTTCTCCAATTAATGCTTTCTAATGCTACAATTCCATATCATTCTTTCTCCATGTTGCAATTACCTGTGTGGATAAAAACTTGCAAACTTTGATAAAATGCTATTGGGTCTTAAGGTCTTTCAGCTCGTGTACTCGAGTACAAAAGACAATCAAAGTTGCATCAATAGACAAAACGAACAAGATAACCAGAAATCATAAAAATATTATTTCTTCAGTTCTACATTCCAAAAACTCAAATTTTTTTACTACAATGTCAAAATGCCAACCTTGTAAGTGACATTACCATATAAACTATAGAACAACAAACCTAAAGTAGACAAAACTCAATTCATATATATACACAAACAAGAACTACAACTTACAAATTGAAGGCAGAAATATATGCTCCAAACTCTTGCTTAAGATGAAGCAGCTTTTATTGCCTTTTGCAATTCATTTTCCACTTCACTCATTCTACTCGTTGATTTCTTCGATTCTCTATGCCCATTCTCTTCACCATCACCATTTCCATTTCCATTACCACCACTTTTTTTGCTCCTCCATTTATCAAACCCACTAGAACTCTCAATACTAGGCAATGGCATCATCCTCTTCCCCACAACATCTCCCTCTCTCCCCTCGCCTCGACTCCTCGAAACCGGAACCTTTCCCCTCATACCCTCCAATGCCTGCTTCATCTCCCTATTCTCCCTCTTCAAATCCTCCACTTCTCTCCCCATCCAACTACACATCCCCTTCAAAAGCTCAAAATCACCCAATTTCGCCTCATCAACCCTCTTCCTCTCATCCTCCTTATCCCTCTTCACCTCATCAACCCTCTCAACCGAAATCTTATTCATCAACAACATCGGAAACTGCGGTTTTGCCTCCGAAACGCCACCACCACACTCAGCAGAGGGAAAACTCACACCCCACCTGAAATTAACCATTGCCCTTTTCGTCAAAGGCATAGAAGTCCTTGCCGCAACTAAAATCCCAGACAAAATAGACGAATTCTTCTTCAAATCACCCCATACCATCGGCCTACCCCTCAAACCCGACCCATCCCTAACCTCAAAATCCGACACCGACCCAGTTGATAATCCCTCATTTGGTGGACCCCCACCAAGCTGATTAGTACTAAAATCATCGGAATTAACAGATTTGAAGAGAGAGAAGTTCCCCAATTGGGGTTTAATAAAGAGAGAGAAAGTGGGGGTTAAGGAATTAGGGTTAAAATTAGCGGTGAAAGTGAGAGGAGAATCATGAGGTGAACCGAAGAGGCCGATACCAGATTTGAGAGAAAGAGAGAAAGGGTAATGGGAAGGAGGAGAGAGAGTGGGGTGGTAAGAGAGAGAAAGAGAGGGGCCGGAAGTGAAATTGGAGCGGAGAGAGAAAGAGAGGTCGGAAGAATCTCCGGCGACAATTCCGGTGAGGAAAGGGAAACCGAGGACTGTGACGGGGATTTTAGCCCGTAAAAGTGGGTTTTGATGCCGGGTTTCTTCTCGGAATTTCACGGATAACTTCATGTTTTTTTTTTTTTTCTTTCTGGGTTGGTTTGTTTTTCTCTGTCTATCTAAATATGGATGAATGGTTGGTTGGGAGAGGTTCGGGTTTACAGAAGCAACTGAAATTTAGGAATAGTTTTCGCATCTTTGTTACGGAGTAATTAGGAATTGAATTTTTCCTTTGAGGGAACTCGGTAAAAGCTAAATCTTTTTTTTTTTTTTTTTTTTTTTTTTTTTTTAAAAAAAAAAAAACATATTTGTGTCTTTTTTATTTTTGAGTTGCGAATGACTTTTTTTTTTCTTCTCTAAAACAGTGTAAAACATTAGACATTACATACTACAAAAAGGATTATGTAAAAACTAAAATAATCAATAACAAAAGTTTTCTCTAAAAAAAACTTAATAAGTGTAAATATTACGTAAATAAACATTTTTTATTATTTGGATAGAACGTGTGAATTAGCATCTGAAATGATGTAAAAGAGATTATTTTAAATTAGAAATTGTATCAATGTTGTAGTAAAAATTGAGCTATTTAAAAACAAAAAAGTGTATCAATAATATTCCCTCACCAAAAAAAAAAAAAAAAAAAAAGTGTATCAATAATACAGTAGTAAAATTTGTTCAATTTATTAAAATCTTGTCTAAAATTAATAAGTTAAGAGGTAGGTACTGAAAGAAAAAAAAAAAAAAAAAAAAAAAACTAGGTACTCAAAATTCTATTATTTCACCTCGTAAAAAAAATATTCATAAACTCTAATTTAATCCTCGTACATTAGGGTTATGGCTATTCACTTATTCAATAATGTAAGATCCAAATTGCAAATCAAGCCCCCTTTTTAATTTGCGATATTGTGTGGTTAGACATTTTGATCAAACTGCAATTCGTAGTTAAGTTGCGATTTTCAAAAATTATAAAACCAAATTGCACCACAAGCCACAACTGATTAATCACATCGGGCCACATTATTTTTCAAAAAATAAAAGGATGGAAAGTAGTGTAAGAAAACCTTATACTCATACATTAATTATTAGAAGTTAAAACTTTATATAAAGTACTTATCACAAAATAAAATAATTCATAACTAATACTTGTAGTTATATTCTACAATTAGTAAAAAAAAATATATTTAGTTAAATAGCATATTCCATCAAATCAATATATGGTTTGATTTGATAATACTTTTAACGGGTTGGTTTGATTTGAAAATACTTTAACGAGTTAATTTAATTTAAAAATATTTTTAACAGGTTGGTTTGATTTGAGTATCAAACTACACCAAACTGGTCCTTCATCACTCACATTAGTCACATACCCTCCTATATGGCTATATGAGATGATATCGGCACCGGTATGAAACAAGTAAATAAGATCGGGGTTTGACACTTGGAACACCTTTAATATCGCCCAAAACCATCCATATTGACATATCTTATCACCCACGTGGAAAACTGCATACAAGCATGTGGACATCCACTGCCCACTTGACAAGCCTGCAACTTGGACCGACACATGGACATGACACCAATTTGGGGAATTCTATAAATACCCAAGCATATTTCATTTCTAAGGCAATATTTCTCTAAATCTAAACCTCTTTCTTTAGAATTCTCATCCTATCTCTTATCTTACTCCTATAAACATGTTATTGACTTTATCATTGAAGCGGTCATTCTCAAACAAACCACAAGGATAGCTAATCCACATTGACTAAGTAGATACAAGTTAAATGATAGACCTTTACCGACCATTGGAACTAACCCCATACTAATCAGCTAAAGACATTTGGGTAGAAGTGGCACTTATTGCAAAACAAAAGCAGAGAGAGTTAAGAGTTTAGGAGTGAGGATACTTTAAGAATCTTGAAAGAAAAGATGCCATTACACATTACACTTGCATAGATATACCTCTTGATATTCCTAAAAAAAGAAAGAGAAAAAAAGTCACGTGCCACGTGGGGTAATACTCCATACTCGATAGTTCGATCAGGTAGGTAGGGCAGATACTTAAATCTGGCCCAACACTTTAGGAGCCGTTCAACCCCCTTCCTTTTGTCTCTCTCTTTCATTCTCAGCATACCCTCTTTCTTCTGTAACACTAAATTGTTTCTTTATTATACAACATTAATTATCAATTAATTAATCTCAATAATTTACACCACAAAAACCCAATTTAATTCCTGTTAAGTAGCTCACAACCTCAGGAGTTCCGCCCCCTCTCTTATACCCTGCATTCATTCAACTATCTCTTTCATCTTTTCTCTTTTCTCCAATTCATCAATAATGGCGACCATGAATCTTACGCCGCAAATGTCAATGCTGAAATCCGACGTCGTTTCTGATCGTCGTTTATCTTCTGCTAAAAATGTCAGCGAAGTTTTCTTCAAAGGAAGTCGTTCTACCAACAATGCTAGGATTCTAACCATTAGAAGCGCAAAACGATGTTTTTCGAAGAAGTCCTTCACTGTTCGATCTGTTAAAAGTACTGAACCTGCTACTAGTCTCGATTCTCCCAACGGCCCTATCTCCCCTGTAAGTTTTTACTACCTCCGTATCATATTATATGCAACTTTGGGGTATTATTCGTGAAATATAAAAAAATTCCAAAGTTACGTATAATAGGTAGTATGTAAATTTGTATATGTTTGTCCAATTTAATTGATTGATTCATTGTGATATTTGAATTCATATTTGACTAGAATATAACATTTAATGAATGTTAGTTAAGTCTCTCAGATGTTATTGTTTTGAATTGAACTAATTGGCACTATATTTATAGGGTCCATTTGTGCTGCAATCTGTTGATTTACTTTCGGATGCACCGAAATCTAATGCTTGGCGAAAAACTAAAATTGTTTGTACGATTGGTCCTTCGACGAGTAGTCGTGAAATGATATGGAAACTAGCTGAGGAAGGAATGAATGTGGCGCGATTAAATATGTCACATGGTGACCATGCTTCTCATAAGAAAACCATTGATTTGGTTAGAGAATACAATGCTCACTTTGATGGCAAGGTTATTTCTATAATGTTGGATACTAAGGTAATATACAATGCTCTTTATTTACCTCATTTAATTTGTTTCAATGCTAGATATTCGTCGTTAGTTTTATGATTTGTGCTCTTGTTTCTTGCCTGATTTTTGCTCTTATGAACTTCTACTGTGAGGAATTCTAGCTGAACTCTTTTGACACCTCTAGAGTTCGCATAATCTTCACGCTCTTCCATTGGGGATTTATTCGTGCTTTTAATTGGAAATTTTATCCTATACAACCACTAATCCAATAATCCATTATTGTCAGTTATCTTTGTTAAGAAATAGTTTGCCCTTGAACCACAATCCTTATCTGCATCACAGGTTCATAGGCAACATTAGAATATTGGCGTTTTAGCTATTCCATATTTGAAACGGAGATAAAGAAGGTAGAACTGTGTTGCTCAGAAACATCCATTTGGGAAGACTGGATATCTGTTGTGATTCAAAATGTATAGGATTGATTGGGTTACCTGAGTGTTAATGGCTGTGTGCTGCTTCTCTTGCAGACTGCAGTGATTACTTTTGATGTTTATTTGGTTGATGTTTTAGCCTGTCCACGTGTATTTCAAGCCATAAGTTTTAATCATAGACTCACCCTAAGTCTCATGAGGTTGGATTTTAATTCTTCCCAACTTAGCCATAATAGCTGCCTGGACAACCACAGATTCCATTTTGTTATGCAGTAAAGTCTGACGAATTATCTGAGCTTTTAGGGAAGTACAGGAGTGACTTATTATCATACTTTATGTGACTCGGGTCATGCTTTCATTTCTGTTTACTACTCTGTAAAAACAATCCCTTGCTTACAATTATTAGCCTCATGAATTGAATCTCATTCTGTATTTCTACAGAACTTCTCTCTTCTTTCACCCTTGCTTTGATGCTTATTATGCGTGACTTAATGTAGAAGTTGTGTTGTTGTTTTTGTTTTCATATAGGGTCCTGAGGTTAGAAGTGGAGATGTACCTCAACCTATCTTACTAGAAGAGGGGCAAGAATTCAATTTTACTATCAAAAGAGGAGTAAGCACACAAAATACTGTCAGTGTCAATTATGATAATTTTGTGAATGATGTAGGGGCTGGAGATATACTTCTGGTTGATGGTAAGTATTTTAGTTTTATTTTTATTTTATTTTTTATAGTAAAGATTATATTTTAATAGATGTGATACCCTATATGTAGTTGCTATAGTAAAGCTACAAATTGTATTATGCTAATTGGCTGAAAGAAAAAGGCTGTTGCTGACCTATAATTGATTGTTTTGTTTGTGAGGTTTTATATCTTTGTTGTTATGCACACAAGAATGTAGGTGCAACTTTTAGATACATTGAACCTTCATTCAATTTGCATCTAAAATCTATGAATGATGAAGGAATAATGGGACCTATTGGGATATGAGGATGGACCTTGGTGTAATATTATAGGAGGATAATAGATGATTCTAGAAATCATAGTGCGAAACACATTTGGCTTGAAAAAAGCGTGCTATGTTTTTGAAAATGGGTCTTATAGTTGATAATGTTAATGATGAATACAGGGTTAAGTTTAATATGGATGTTAGTACTAGCCATCTTTCTATCTGGAACTTGAAATCAAGTGGTTGAAATGCTATACATATATCAGTGTCAGATATCTTATGCGTTACAAATTTTGGTTTCTTAGTTACATATGTGATGTAGTTACTCTAGCCCAGGAAGCAGTATATTTCTCATGGTTCTACAACATAACTCAGCCCATGAGAGTTAGATTCTGCGCTTTTATAGAGTTGTAATCTAACAAGGCTTTATGTGCATTTGGTTGGTCCAAGTAGAGAGAGTTTCTTATCATTCCTAGTGTGGTAGATATATTCTTCAATTCTGGACTCTGGTGTTTATTGAAGCTGCTTTATTATGTTAGGTGGAATGATATCACTTGTTGTGAAATCCAAGACAGAAGACACCGTAAAATGCCAGGTAATTGATGGTGGGGAGCTCAAATCTAGGCGGCATTTGAATGTGCGTGGTAAAAGTGCAAATCTCCCATCGATAACAGGTTTGTTTTTCCATCTATGTATATTTTTCCATGTATCTTCTTTGCATCTCTTTATGGGTGACAAATTGTCTTCTTGTATCATTTTTGCAGACAAAGATTGGGAGGACATTAAATTTGGGGTTGAGAATCAAGTTGATTTCTATGCTGTTTCGTTTGTGAAGAATGAAAAAGTTGTTATTGAGTTGAAAAATTACCTTAAAAGTAAAGACGACTTAGCTTTTCTCTCTATAGAATGTAGTAAATGTACTTTCCGGCACTCCATTGTTGCTGACTTCGTTTTATCTACTTTATAGGTTGCAATGCTGATATTGATGTTATAGTGAAGATTGAAAGTGCAGATTCAATACCAAACCTTCAAGCTATAATTACAGCATCAGATGGGGTAGGTGCCGTAGGTCATTTTTCAATTGTCCTTCTTCATAAGCCTTTTTGGTCATCTATAATGATACCTTTGTCCATATGAAGTCATGATTTTGATGTTCTGGTTATCTATAATGTTGTCCAGGCAATGGTTGCTCGTGGGGATCTTGGAGCTGAGCTTCCTATTGAAGATGTGCCTATATATCAGGTAAATATTTTATATACATATCGTTGATATATTATATGGGTGAGTGTGCTATTCGGCCGGGAAGTGGAATTTATGATTTTTAATGTGATTTTCCAATTACAACAATATGTTTGCTTCTCAGTTGAAACTTGTCAGTGTTTTGTAGGATTATCTTGTATGATTTGAAGTTGATTACAGATAAATAAATAATTTATTTTTATAAACTTTCAGGAGCGACTCATCTATATTTGAAGTATAAATCAATGTCCCTTAAGATATCATATAGTAAAGCAGTAAAAATTAAGAATTCTATTAGTTTATACAATTATGGCTATGTAAATGGAATTTAAAACGTATTTTTGTTTCTAATTAGGAGGAGCTAAAGCTAATGAATCTCTTTTGTAGAATTTTTCTTTTAGCAATGGAAACTTTTTTTTTTCCATGTCCCTCGGGAGATCTTATGTTGTTTCTGTAGCTTTGCATAACCACTGATTAAAAAAAAAATGCATGCAAATTTCAGGAGGAAATCATTAATTGGTGTCACAGCATGCAGAAACCAGTTATAGTCGCAACTAATATGCTTGAAAGCATGATTGATCATCCGACACCCACCAGGGCAGAGGTTTCTGACATTGCAATTGCTGTTAGAGAAGGTTCTGATGCAGTTATGCTGTCTGGAGAAACTGCTCATGGAAAGTAAGTCAAGGATGTGGCTAATTCATACGACAACACTTGCTTCAGATTTTTTCTTTGAATGTGTAAAGTCATGTCATTCATATGTTCTAGTTTTGCTCAAGTTGCTCTTTATTGGCCAAAGGTACCCATTGAAGGCTGTTAAGGTGATGCATTCTGTGGCACTAAGGATGGAGTCAAGTTTGAAACCAACAAATGATTCTCCTCCTGTACCATCTAGTATATACAAGGTGTGTGGTGGCTCTTTCACTGTGCCATCTATAATCTATTCATTCATATAATATGGCTGTGTGAAGAGCTTTTACAAGAGATTACCCTTTCTCTTACATTTCTATGGCTGCTAAACGATTCTGTTTAAATTTCGCTTAGATTTTGAATTCCCGTGATTGCTCTTTTCTTCCTATCCTATCTCCTTCAAGTTTTTGGTGCTCAACTGCTCACAGGACTTGCCTATGCACCACCAAGCCAGAAGTGGCTTGGAAAAGTGTTTGAACGTTGGGGTGTTAAACTGTTAATCACAAATGAATAAGAATTTATGTTTGTGAGGTAATATGATAGTCTCTCTCATCTTTAGATACTGATGTTCACCTTTTGCAGAGCCATATGGGCGTGATGTTTGCTTTCCATGCAACTACCATGGCCAACACTCTTGGCACTCCAGTCATTGTATTTACAAAAACAGGATCAATGGCTATTCATCTAAGCCATTTTCGGCCGTCTTCTACAATCTTTGCCTTCACTAATGAGTAAGTGTGCAATTACTTTCACAAAGCACATCTAACAAGCATATAGAATGACATTCTTAAAAATGTATACCAAACTACTGATATTACGGGTTTCAAATTTAAAGTTTTTGTCCTGCTAAGAGATATCAAATGTCATCAAATTTGCTCCCAAATCTAGTCAATAGAACCATAGTTAAAAATGCTTTATTCCAGCAATAATAATGTTAGTGGGCGCTTACTCGCATAGCATGGTCTTTTTTAGCAGTCTCTAGGCATTTCTTGTTATGAGGACAATTAACAGAACTAAACAGTTTAACAAAAGGCTATATGTCATGAATGTTGATAGATTAACACATAATGTTTGAAGTCATTGAGTACTGAAAAATCAAATCAGCTTGTGATGGCAGGATCAGAACCATAATACCATTTTATCTTCAAACACTATGATAACCTTTTTCCACTATCATTTTAGAGCATTAAAAAATTTTCAATTAGTTTATGTGTTTTGGGGCATATATTATTTATTTTTATTTTATTATATATGTTTTTTATGCTTCCATCAAGCTTTTCTAAGACCTTTTCTATGCCTTTTTGATAATCTTGATTCCAAAGGACAGTTATATGCTTAATGTGAGCTAAATAAGTTCATGATTTTTTTGTTGTGCTGCATTCATATGACCTGATGTCTTGTCTACCCTGTATTATATCATATTAGAAACTGGTATTATTATAACTACTGTACTAAGCTACTCCTGTTGTTGCTTTCCAGACAAAGGGTAAAGCAGAAGCTCTCTATATATCATGGGGTGATGCCCATTTATATGGAATTTTCAGATGATGCAGAGGAAACATTCTCTCGGGCCCTAAAGATGTTGACTGTGAGTTCTTTTGATGCTTCAAATTTCACAGATTCTTCATTTCGACATTAATTTCTGATTTTTTGATTTATTTCATGTGTAACAGAGCAAGGCATTAGTAAAGGAGGGACAACATGTTACTCTGGTCCAAAGTGGAGCACAACCAATCTGGCGTCAAGAATCCAGTCATCACATACAAGTCCGTAAAGTTCAAGGCTAATTTGTTCAATACACATGTTTGTTACATGCTGCTGGAAATTTTGGAGGCACTGGATCTAGATAGTGTAAGGTCTAATTTATCTAATAATGACAATGCTTTTAGTTATTTTAGTTGTTGTAGTCCATGTATGCATCAGTTTTTTTTTCATACTTAGGTTTCAAAGGAACCTGTACATTGCAAAAACTTCATTAGCTTTTGGTTGATTGTTTTGCTTTTGATTTAGAATGTTAAGGTGCTGCCTTATTATACTATACAAGTATACAGCCTTAGCTTGGTTATCTATAAATTTCTTGTAAGCACTGTCACAATTATTGGGTTTTTTTTTGGTAACTGTTTTGCCGCTATTTTCTTACTAGTGCCTTAAAGCTTATGGTTATACCTGAATGAACTTCTGTGGGCATGGTCTGCAGTGTTCATTTTTGTTCATATATTTGGGTCGGGGCAGTGGCAACTGGTGAAGTGGTGAGTGGTCAATGTTTTTGACAATGGGAGTGGCTGACATCTCTAAATTTAATGTCAGAAAGGTAATTGAGTGATTGGAACAGGATCCAATTGCTGTTAACTTTGTTGCCCTTCTAACTAATTGTGCACTATTGGTTCGTTGCACAAATGAGTGGGTTTGTTCTTAGCTTGTTCTGGAGACTTTAGTTTTTCTGGTTTGTTTCCAATGCTAGTATACTTTGTTGCCTAAAATGATGACTAGAATTTGCAACTTGGTATACCATGTTAATTGTTCTATATTGCTTTATGATGTTTTTCTTTCTGAGCTACTATGATATCAGTATTCCTTTGTACGAGGTGTCAATTTTTTCTTTCATCACTGCACTTGCTCTGTGGTAACTTGGAGTCTTTCTGGGGTCTTGATGTGGTTTAATATTATGCTTTTGAAGCTTAATTATAGGTTCAATTATGCTGATGCGGAATAGACTTGTTTGCATATGAAAGTTAAAGGAAAAAAAAAAGACCATTAGAAAACGGGCCGTCTATTAGCACAATTGATTAGTACAATTGAAATACATAGCTCAGTCCCTACAATTAGAGCCCACAGATGAGCATTCAGTTGAAAGAGCTAAAACAGCAATTCCCTTGAACTTGTTGCTCAATCCTGGCTCTTTAGGAGAATACAGTGATTCAATGTTATCGTTCAATCATTCATAGGTACGAGTGACAAGTTCTAATGTTCCTGTTACTTTCGTCAAATGATCTTCCCCTCTCTCATCCCCTAGAAATCATCTTCAAGGTGTATGGACACTACCTCTTATTCAAGCAAAGCATAAAGGCCTTACTATGCAAACCTTGTTGAAGACATCAAACATCATAACTGATTTGACCATGTTCTTCGCCAGATTTTCCTTCCATCTTGATGCGTTTGTAAGATCTTGCACATAAGATATAGACAACAAAGTCTATTGTTGTGAGAGCTGCTAATAGGAAGTAAAACCTGTCTAAATGACCCTTGTTGAGATTCCCTGGTATCCACCCCGGCATATGATCCTCTGTTGAGATTTTCATAACTATTGAGACGATTAAGCTGCTCACATAGTTTCCCAATGAGATCGATGTCATACACAGAGCACTTCCGAAACTCTTTAGTCCATCAGGTGCTTGGGCATTGAAAAACTCCAGTTGACCAACATACATGAAAACTTCAGATGCTCCGATGAACACATACTGTGGAATTTGCCAGAAAATGCTCAGTGTGCTAGGGTTTGGTGCCTTACAATGAGGGCAATCCTTTATGGCATATTTGAGTCTATAACATTCCACAATTCCTGCTGAGACCATTGCCATTACTGCTATAATTAGACCAATACCCATTCTGTGCAACTCGGTTAGGCCACCAGACTCTGTCTTCCTCAATCTGCTCATTAGTGGATCAAGAACTCTTCTATAGAAGAAAACGAAAACTACAACACTGAGAATGTCGAAGCTGGACATGCTTGCAGCTGGGATTCTAAAGTTTGAGACAGTAGTTTTCATAGCAGCACCCTGCTCAACGAAAAGTGATGCCATTTGAGTAAACACTACTGAGTAGATTATGGTGCACAACCATATGGGAAGTAGTCTTAATATGCACTTCACTTCCTCAACTTGTGTTATGGGGCAAAGACGCCATGGGTTTCGAAGACCTTGCTCCTGGTTGTAGAAATCCCCAGATTTAATATATGCTGCTTTGTCTAAGAATCTGCAAGACATGAACAACTCAGGTTAGTTTTCATGGGTTTTCTAGCGATATGTGTTATGGATCTTAGCCTTGCAGCTTATTAGGAGACTGAAAGATGCAGGTAGAAAATTGTATGATAGTACTTGTATGATTGTATACTTACTTGAAACCTTCACTATGGAGCAGCTTTCTGCTTCCTTCTGTGGAACATTCCTTTTCTTCTGCTTCGTACAGTCCCTCTCCTTCTGGCATATCAGTCCTCCATTTCCTGATTGCAGCAATAAGAACTTGGCTTAGCCTTGAAAGGGGGTTGCCTGTGGCCTTGAAATGTCGGTATTTTGGTGTTCTGGCAAGGAATAAAACGAGTGCCAGAAAGGCAGAGGCAGCTGATGCCCAGAATCCTAGAGCCCACATCCCTTCATCTTCAAAGTATCCCAATAAAGTGTTGGAGAAGAGTGAGCCAAGATTCATTGCTAGGTAGAAGTAGCTGAAAAAAGCCACCTTTGCGTGTGATTCCTTCTGATAGTCTTCATCAAACTGATCTGCCCCAAATGTTGCTATGTTCGGTTGATATCCTCCATATCCCAAGGCCACAAGGTAAATAGAGAGGTAAAACAGTCCCTTCTCCATGTTTGAGTGTTTCCCACATGGAGTGATTCTATCTCCACAACCTTTTGGTCTCAGCAGGAACAGATATGTGGATAAAGAAAGCGAAGCCAAACCCTGTCATCAAAAGCCATCATGGTAACTTGGTAAGTTCATGTATGAAGCTTTACAAAAAAATAAATTTGGAGAACTTGTAGCTTGTTTTGATCATGTTATGTATGTTTCTTGGGATACAAGTCCCATTAAATGACTTATATTTCTTCATCTTATTTCAGAGGTCCTTGCATATAGTTCCTTATTACATGTTAGCCTGTAGGATGAAATCTGAAGTATTCTTATAGTGATGAATACATACCATGACGAATATTATCTGAAAGATTGCACAAGTCTTGAATCTTCCCCAGTATGCATCACTAAGGAAGGCACCAACAAGGGAGAAGATGTAGACGGTTCCAGTCCATTTGCTGACAGCGTTTGCAGCATCAGCATTGTTTTCCCCAAGCACTCTTGTCAAGAATAGTACCAAGTTCACTCCAACACCGAAAAATGCCAAGGTAGCCAATCCTTGATTTACTGTTTTTGATTCACCACATGAAGATATATTAGAATTAGAAGATAGAAACCTTAGTAATATGACTGATCATTTTAAGTCTGCTATAAAATTATAAAAAATAAGTGGCCTGTTAGTCTGATTGAATTCAGTAAAATTTCAGAATCCCTGAAAAATTATCAGCCAAAGTAGTTCAAACTTGTTCATGAGCTTTGGTCCATGATTAATTTTGTCTCAGTCGCTATAGAACACTGAATGTAGCTAATTTTATTTGTTTTGTCATCTAACCAAGGCTTTCAGATACTGAAGACCGGTCTATTTCTCCCGCCTAAATGTTGGTTAGACGGACTGAACCGATCCCTATCAGACACACATCACAATCAATTAACACGCATACACGGTCCTTGTTGTTTACGTGCATTTGTCGATTTATGTATCATGTTGCTATACTCATCTATGATTGAGTTATGTGTTCACTATCAACTCATGTTGCTGTCAGTGATGTGCATGTTTCATCTGTATGTGGCTGTTAAGGCACAATTTGTATGACATACAAGAGAGGAAAACTTATGATCCCTTTTCATTTCTGTATCCATCTACCTGCTATTTTATTTCTCTAGGTCACATTCTGAATATGCTAGTCCTTATATTCTTTGTCTTTTATAACACCAAGAATTTACGTTTTATCTTCTCTTTTTGTTATAATAATACTAGGTTCTAAAATTTTGGTATAATGAATTTTAATGTTTACTTTGGATTGTAATCTATTTTGTTTTCATTTTTTATTCTTCTGGTTGGTGTCAAAATCGGACCAAAAATTGGGTAGGTTGTATTTATATGGTTTGCTTTGATCATGATGCTTAATAAGGGCGGGTAGTGAGAATCAATTTCAAGATCACCTGGAAGCGGGAGGAAGCTCTAGCCACTTGAGCTATCCCTCACTCTCAGATGATGATGATGATGATTATTATTAATATGAAGAAAAATCAACTTAATTAGTAATAAGGTAGATATTATATAGTTTTCCACAAACTTATATGAAAATAGAACTTGGCAAAATTTAAGCCAAGTAAAAGGTTCCCACAAAATAATTTTATGATGTGACCCATAAAGATTCTTGCTACTCAAATAGGATTTAGATACCACCCCACATTTTATCTATGAATATAGATCATTAGATTTTGGCTTTATGGTTACAAACTTACAACTTCTCAATAAGGTAAATATTTCTTACTATATTTTGCAATTTAATGCAATCTAAGAGTTACTATTAGAAACGAATTTGCCAAGGATGAGATCCAATGAGCATGTTTTGAGTGTAGATCAGTTTGTTATCAATCAATTACCACCTAGACTCAATGTATCCACATAACATAAGGATACGTAAGACTTCATGTTAAGTTGGAACTAAAGATAATCCGTATGCGTGCAATAAAAGAGAGATGATTAATATAAAACTAGATAATTACTCCACAATATTTAAGCCATCCATTTATCAATTTGTACTCCGAAAAAGAAAACATGCACATACTATTAAGATTTAGGATTTAAAACCTCCCTTTATATAGAGTGTTCTTATCGGATAAAATATTAAATTTTATTTTAATGAGTGACAAAGGAAAACCAAAAGATAATCATAAGTTGGCATTCATATCAACAAATTATAGTTACGAAATGAGTGAACTTTCTATATATATTTTGTAACTATGTCATAAATCTATATGTATAAGTTATATGTTGATGTTGTACAAGGCAAAATCATATGTCATGGGAACCCCCTAAAATTTGTTTTTATTTGGGTGATGTACTTTTTATGTCTTTACTTTCTTCTGCATGCGTTGCTAAGTTACATTCTCCCTATTCTTCAATAATATGGGCTGTCATTTTGTCATCTTTTCCATGTATGTTACTACGTACTTGGGTTGTCTTTCCTAAATTATCTTCTATATCACACAATTGCATCGTACCCAAAAAAAAAAAAAAAAAAATCTTACCGACCTATAGTCATATCAGTTGCATCGTTGATATGGTACAACATAAAATTTCAGCCAATAAAGAAAATTTAAAATTAGACTTACCACGAATTATGGTGACATGGATCAACTATAGTAAATTACTACAAGTAATATGTACTTTGTACTTTGTATATGATACGTTTGTGTAGTATTTTTTTTTGACGGAAATATAAGTATAGGTTGATTTTCCTATAAAAACTTAGTTTTGTAAATATCTTTCCTATGCTGCCAAAGGTAATAAATGTTTCATTTATGATTTACCAATGAAAAATTCATAGAAGTTGTCTTTTTCCTGTATATGATGATGAACTGGCAAATAAGCTGAAATCATAGTTATGCTGTAAATACTTTGATTATCTATGATTGGTTCTGTAATACCTTGGATTCTATTCATATCATGAATCTTCAACCATTTTTACAAAAGAAACAACAAGCAAAATGCTTTTGATCTATGGATATAATGAAATCCAACTCAAACACATCTTTCCTAATCTTCAATAAGGACAGAATTTAGGAGCATGGAAAACATTCTTTCACGAGTTTCTATTAACCCTTCCCATTTTTTATCATTATTATAGTCAGTTTATCTTTACGTTAAATTCACATGTACACGCTTTTAATATTGATAGACGTTTGAAAAGAGTTAAAATAGATGAGTATGATTAAAATTATTACTGTCACGACTTAGTTAAATTAGTCTCACTGAATTTTGAATTATCATATGTTTAAAAAGTGATTCCTATAATCCAAGCAAAAAGAAAAGGGTAAATAAATAATTGATACGGAATAATAATTTCACATATTCCTTCTAAAATAATTAATTTTATATGTCGTCTTTAATCTTTAGGTGGGAGCAAATATCTGTTGCCCTGTTGGGTATGTTCCCCCGTTAATAAGGTTAAAAGAATGACATCAAATAAAGTGGAAATAAGACAAGATTAAAGATCCAAATTAACCTAAAAATTATGTACTATACGTATTATATAAGGAAGAATTAATAAAATGGATGTACTTTTTATTAGACAATGGAATTTGAGGTAAGAAGATACTCCACTACTGCGATACTATTATTTTGTTGTGAGAAATAGTACACGTCTAAGCAATTAGACCCCATAAGATTTGGGACCTTAATTTTTTTAATTAGAAAGTGACCTTAATACCATAATATGACCTTAAAAAAGATTTTGGTACGTATCATGACGTTAACCTTAGAGGATCGAATTTTTTTTAAAAAAAAATACTAATGATTCTCATTAATAATAATCTCATTAGCGAATAGGCCATCACGTATGATTAGGCAAGATCTTTAGAATGCTTATACTTTCACTGATTTATGCTTACATCATTTGACAAAAAATTTCAAAGAGGGAATAATATCTTATACTTAGTATACGGTTTCGTGATTGTAATTATCGATGTATTTTTTTTTATTTGTATAATATACCGTATATGAAAATGAGCTAGACTTGCCTAGTGAATAATACATAACAAATACTCCGTTTTGTATTTGTAAAATTTTAGAATTTAAGTTGATCGTAAGAAATTATTGATCAATTTTATGTAGAGTTATGCTTTATATACTTTTATATATCATAGAGACTTGTCTTTATTCTAATATTGTACAAAAATTCTAATTTTATTTGCTATTATTACTATAGTGTCGTAATTTACAAAATAATGTAAAATGTGATTCTGAACTATGCAGGACAAACATCCGAAAATTCTAGTTGGGATCTCCAAGCTATTATTTTTTTTCAAATTTCTTTATTAGTGGAATAAGTATGATTAAGCAGAGCACGTGGAACCATATATTCTCGTCCACTTCACATAATTTTTTTTAATTGCACTAGAGATTGTCACAAAAATAAATTATTAGCAATTATAACTGCAAAATTTTAGAGAATAAATTTATTTTGTATGATAATTAGTTATTTATAATTAAAGAATCATATAAATAATAAATAAATACATAATACTTACCAAGAATAATATTGCTTGCAAACCATTTTCCAGTCTCTTGGCGGTTGGCAGGATGGCCTCTGCAGTCTACTGTTCCATCCATTGTGTACACATCATCTTGCTCTTTCTTCATTGTTTTCTGTTTTTTTTTTAACAAAAAATTGAAATAGAAGAAATTATTAAATAATATAAAAACCATATATTATAAGCATTATATAAAAAATAAATGATTAAATCATGAAATGACTCAAAGCAAATTGTTCGAAACTTTTTAACATGACTTTCCGTTATGGACTACTAGCCTACTACTATATTTTTTATGTAGTCACGCTAAAGTGCCTCATGCACAACTTTCTTTGCATGATCACCAAAATGATCTCCCTAAAAGGAGAAGTATAGGTTAAAAAAAAATTTAATGTGTATAATGTATGACTGAAAATATATATGCTTTCATCAGCCTTAATCTTATGGTTAAGCTCGAGTTTTTGGGTAGACAATGTTTGAAACTACTAATATACAAGAACTTTTCCCTTCTTTCATTTTTGTTTTTCACTGTATGATCTCTTTATTTCAAACTTCATGCATGTTCACCCTCGTGTTTTAGGTTAACCCAAGGCATGTTTTATGTGTGGTCGTTTCTAGTAACAAGAATTGAGGGATAAATAATGAAAGCTAAGAAGATCGAAGATCATTGAAGAACGAAGAAACTGGCCAGTACCTTCTTGGTCACCCCACCAATAGCCATTGATAAAGAATGATGAGGTAGGTCTTTGAGAATGAGAAGATTGATGAAGAGTAAGTTGAAGGAAGCTAAGAAGGATATATATAATAGAAGATGGTACTTCGGATTACAATTAATAGGAGGCATGAGAATATCCATATATATAGAAGAAATGAACGGTAGAGATTTTAGCTTTAAGAAAATTAAAGTAAGAATAATGGAAGAGACCCACATGCCCAAATTCACCCACATTTCCCATTATATAATTATAATAACACAAAGTTATAATTATAACAATATAACCCAAGATTAAGACTTAACAAATTGTCTCATCTCCCCTCAAACAAAGAAGGCTAGCTACCTAGAAGAAGCAAAAAAGGCAATTCTTTAATTTTATTGAATTATTTATTAACTTTGTTTAATTTTATTGCTAATAATTTATATATATTGCCTAGAGAAAACACCCAAATCAAGTGGTCCTTTTATATCCACATTGGCATCTTATTGGGTGATAATATTATTAAAAAAAAGGGAAGGAATAAGGAAAATAGATAATTATTACGTAGTATATATTGTTGAAATTTAGTTCATGATATTGATTGATTTTAGACATATATCATTACCTTAGATTTAATTTGTAAAATTGTTATAAAAATTTGGTCCACTAGTACCAAAAATAGTTTGCTTTGAGAAAGACAATTATAATTGGGTTAGTATGTTCATCTGTTGCCACAAGTTTGGGTTCATGTCCAAATTGCATCCATGGGAAAATGAAGTGGACTACTAGTAGTAAGTGTAGTCATTTCATATCAATAGTTACCAAATACCTAATTTTTTTAACCTATATACTACCTCCGTTTCTTATACTCCGTAATGTGCAACAAAGGGGTATTATTTGTGAGACATAAAATATTCTTTTGTTTTCCTAAAAAAATATTCTTTTGTTGCATATAATAAGAAACGAAGGTAGTATTTTTTCTATTCAAGTTTCATTAGGCATGTTTCCTTAGTAAGGAGGGTATCCTATCCTAACATTTTACTTGCCATTTCAAATAAATAAAAAACCAAATGAATTGAAGTAATATAACTACTGTGTAAGTATTATCGACACTCTTAATAATACACTCATACTTCATACAATATGACTTCTCAATTTATCATTGTTTTCATATATTGTGTAGAAGTTTTTCCAATTTTCTATTGCGATTGATAGTTTGAGACACGTGTTGTGTTCTTTTACATCCTACCTATTTTCTAATTGACGTACAAAGAATTTTAAATAAATGAGTTTGATCACTTTTTTATGTATGTTTTCCAAAAATGAATACATATATGGTTACAAATATTATTACTTATAGAAAGTAACATATACAAGTATGTTTTATGATATGAAGAGTATATACATTTATACATAATTAATTATGTTTACCAATTGATAAACGGGCCCGGGCCACACATAACACAACTATCCACTTTATACGACCTAGGATGTTCCACCTCAACACCATATGACAATGAGGGGAGTAGCCCCTTGGCCTTATAAAGTGGACACAACTTTCTTATTTCTTCAACTAGGTTAGGTCCCGTGCCATGCACGGTTATTTTAATCCTTCCATATTTTCTTTATATAAATTAATTTATGCCTTTATGGCATACAAAATAAAAAGTTAATATATTTGTAGAATAAATTATATTCCATCATAATTACACTTCTGTACAGAGATTATTTATTTCCTTATTAATCCGTACTTAATTGGGTAATAACATAAGAAAGGTAAATATTATTATTTCTTTATTTGGTTGACAAAAAAAAAATTTCTTTTAAATAACTTCTTTAAATAAAATTTTCTAAATTATAAAAAAAAATACAAAATACTAAGAACACACCATAGCATGACACGTGTCATTGCTGGTGTGTCTTTTAGTATATAGTTATTGATGTGGGATACACTTTCACATACAAACTCTTACTTATAAACTAAACCAATGTGGGACAACACACCACTTACATGTGGTTTTCTCATGGGCTTAACACTCCCCCTCACATGTGAGTTGTCCATAATAACATATATCAATAGTATAAAATTAATACATGCATGGTCATGTTCTGTTCACATTATTTCCACTTATTTCAGGAAAAATAAATTCAGATAAGATAAGTTAAGAAAAAATAAGTTCAGATAAGTTGTGATAAGAGTGTTCAGATATATATTGAGAAGAACATAAAATTTTACTAGTACTAAATAACATTTTTTTTTTTGGACAAGCATTCTTTTTTTATGTCTTGGTGTGCAAGATAAAAATGAAGTTCTTCGTACCGACCAATAACCCTAATGCATACATTTATATGTTATATATATCCAGCCAATTTATATATTAAAATACACGACTTAAATTATCTGAATAATTATTTCCTTGATTATTTAAATTACATGAATTAGTTTTTCCTAACATGAAACTTATCAACTTATTAAAAAATTAAGTTGCGAATTATATATATATATTTTTTAAAAACCTGGATATAAGGTGAGCAAAATAAATTAAAGTATAAGATTTTTCCGAAATGAAGCAACGTACAAATTAGATTAATGTATGGATGAGAATAATGAATAGATGTTAGTGGTGAAAAAGGGATTTAATTTTTTTTTTGGATAATTGTGAAAATGAAGTTTATTAGTACATCATATGAAGTATTTGTTTGTGTTTGTAAACTTTTGGTGGTGGTTCAATTTAGTTAGATAATGATCTCTAAAATGGTTATACAGCTGGTTACAAAAGAATGCCAGAATTATTATAAATCTGCTTCGAAACATCTCCATCTAGTAAAAGGATCAATTTTATTTGTCAATTTAATTCTATTCATGACCAATCTAGTTGATGAACTCTTGATTTGATTAGGCTTACGCTCCCAACATATTATTTCGATCAACTCATATTCATGTCTATTGTCATTAACTAGATTAACTTAAGAATCAAAATTGAATAATATGGTGTAGTAAAATGATCGAAATGATGTCAATTTTAAAATTGAGTCAAATTATAAGTTATTTAGTTTGGAGTCAAGGGTTAATTGGGTAAATGGTAAAGAAAAACATTTGTAGTTCCAAATAAATCAATCAATTGTCCAATTTTCGTTATTTTGTGTCGTGACAAGTTAGTAAGGACCCCATCTATTTATTATTGATGACATTTGACAAATTATTAAATGAGTGTTGTACGTACTTTTTTTTTTTTTTTTTTTTTTTTGATAAGAGTGTTGTACGTACTTTTCACATACACATCAAATTATTTTGAATGAAGACGAGATTATTTGGCATGTCTGGATCAGGTGACTAGATTTCACTCTAGCTATGTGATCACTATATTGACAATATTGTGGTCTAATTTATTCTTCTCACCATTGCTCTCGTGCATGCACCAAGGCATTCATAAATTCTAATCGATACGTATATATACCGACTGAATTTACCGACTGTTTCGGCAAAAAATGAGCTAACCGGGCCTTGGAGGGGTGTCTGAGAACCTCGAATTTGGGCCTTGAATGGACCTGCAAAATGAACCCCGAGCCCCGGGGGTTGAACCCGGGGCGGAGCCTCCGACGCCCAAGTTAGTTGCCAAACAATGCATATTTTGAGAGGAGTTTAGGGGAGAGAGTGGAGGAGTATGGTCATCTTAGATGATAAGAGTGACCTCTCTTTACCTAATGCCCTTTGAGGGGTATTTATATGAGTACATAAGTGGGTTTATGAGCCCTAAAATTACATATGTGGGCCGTTGAAGGCCATATTGATGTATTTGACTTATTTGGGGTCTTTTATACCTTTTTTTATGCCTTTTGGGCTTATATGGGTGGAGTTACCCAAGACTAAAATGGGTATGACCATTTTAGTACCCAAACACCGACGGTTATAGCCAGGCATCAACCATATATAATACTCATTACTTAGGGTCTGTTCTCATTGACTGAACTCAGCTGAACTGAATTGATGAACTTAATAGAGTTGAACTGAATTGAAATGAATATTTTATAAAAGAAGGAAATTAGGAGTTGAAGTGAAATGAAAATAATCGTATAAGAACAGACCCTTAGTATAGTCACTGTATGTCATCTAGTGTTGATTAATTTTTTAGAATTTTATATTGATCCAATTCTCTACCGTTGTATAAAAAATCCTCTCAATGTCAATTAACAAACCAATAAACCTATAGCTTCTTGCCTTCTTGTTGTCAATATTTATTCTAGCTTGGTCCCTGAGATTATTAGTTATATCAATAAAAATCATAGATAAGTGGATGATAAATACTTTTAATTTGCAAATAGACACTAATAAATCCAAATTAATATCTAGAGGGGAAATATCCATCAGATAATCAGAGTCAATTCTTTCGGCTGGACTCTTATTAATTATTGGTACAATCTTTATTTGTTCACTTCCTTTCCAAAAAAAAAAAATTAAAAAAAAAAAAAGAAAAAAGTTCCTGTACTAAAATAGTTGAATTGATAATAATACTCTACCTACATTATGTTATTGTTTATCGTACCATGAGATTTGGAAAATTCACTCAAAATTTATGTTAGGATTGTGACTTGTGATCAAGTGCATAGCAAAGGAAGATATAGAATAGAAATTGATGAAATGAAACGATCTTGCTAACGAGCGCCCTGGGGCGTTAGATAAGGATAAATTATATTGGTTGAAATGGTATTAAGTTAGGAATTCATGACAAAATCACGCGTCGTTCGGTGTAATTAATGTTAATTTTACTCTAATATTTGCACTTTAATTCTCTTATCTAACGCCCCGGGGCGCTCATTAGCTTTTGCCATATAATAATGATTGTTAATTGATAAGCACATCCTACTATATTTATTCTTTGGCTTACAAGCTAAGACCTAAAGCAACTTTGGAAATTAGGTTATCGTGTAAACCAATGTCACCAAATCATAAGGAATCTGACCGAAATATTAATTGTCAATCATGTTGTTGGTTCATCGTTATACGCAAATACCTCATATATTAACAAGGATCCTACTAAGGACTTGTTCAGTTCAGTTTAGTTCAGCTCCAATCAGTTCAGTTCAGTTTATTTCAGCTCCTAATTTCTTTCTAACATAAAATATTCATTTCAGCTCAGTTCAGTTCAATTTAGTTCAACCCAATTCAATAAATGTGAACATATCCTAAAAATTAGAACCTTTACACATATAGATCAACATTTGAAGGTAAAAGACAAAAATTAAGACAGTG